GATTAAGACATTATGAATTTTGGACTTATTTGGACCTAGAGTTTGAGATCTTGATCTCTTTGGGTGTCTTAGTGGGTAAAGTTGGAAACTTTATCCATTTAGACCATAATATGAACCGAATCTGAGCCCATTTAGACCATAATATGAACAGGATATGAGGTTTGGAGCTCTTGGAATCGAAGAATACAACTTAACCCATTAAGTTGTTGGAATCTCAGCTCTCACGGCATGGCGACTGGGAATTACCTGTTTGTTTGATCGCATGATGGCCATGAAGTCGTAGCCAAGGAAAGCCACGACGTGGCGGTTGACTAAAGTCAACATTGGTTTTTGACTTTGACCATTGACTTTTGGCATACTTTTGGTTAAATTTATATTTTTAGAATGTAGACTTAGGGTTTGCCTTGTGTGGATTAATAAAAGGTGTTTAACACCCATTTTTTTGGTGATGATCGGCACGAAATTAAGTTAGGTTTTTAGTTGGCTTTGTGATTTAGGTGAGTGTCTTCATTGTACCTGTGGGTCGAAGGAACCCATGACGACCCACTGGATTATGTTGTAGGATGATAATTGTATTTGTGACACTTCTGGCATGCTTGTATGCCCTTGTTGTCTTTGTGAATCTTACTAATATGATTGTATTCTTAGATATAGGGGTGAAATAGACTTGTATCAGTTGAAAGATACTGAAGGAGTCGAAAGAGACTCAGATAGTCGGAAGGGACTTAGGGAGTCGAAGCGGACTTAGAGAGTCGGAAGGGACTAAGGGGTGAAATAGACTCGTTACAACTTTAGGTTGATATGTATGTATGGTATGTGGTATTTTGGGAAACTCACTAAGCTTTGTGCTTACGGTTTTATGTTTATGGTTTTAGGTACTTCCGGTTCTAAAGGGAAGGGCCCGGTGTAACTACATTGCATCCCCTAGAGTTTCTGCATTGACTACTTATGATTTTTACTCTGATGTGTACATGATGTTAATCACTTTGATTGATTTTGGAACAACTTATTTGTATGGATTGTTGTTTTAAAATGAAAATTTTACTCTGAATTTTTAAGACGTTACACCACACTTTGCAGAACACGTGTCAGCAAGCTTGAGGGTCGACCAGGCCAGGGCACGACGTGCGCCTAGTCGGGGCACAACACGCGCGTCAAGTTTTCTGCCTATAAATACCTTTGAAGCCTCATTTCAACCCTCCACACCACCAGAACTTCCCTTTGGTATTTCCACTTTATAATTTCGAAAATTCTTAGGTATTTAGGGTGTTTTGGCAAAGCTTTGGGACCTGAGTACCCGACATTAGTGGCTATCAAGTCGGAGTTCTACCAATGTAATTTTCGGACTTTTGTTGGGAAAATATCTATAAGTTAAGCTACACTTATATTACTTTCAGTGTAACTTATATTTATATTCATAGTCGATATTATGAATCTATAAAAAAGATTTATCGATAATTCCAAGTCAAAATATTGATTGATCTACTTATGGTAATGATTGCAAGGCCGGATGTAGTGATGTGTTTAAAATGGGATTTCCAAATAGTATACTCTATATACCAAACGGACACTACCTCCAATATGATCTTACCCGGTTGTTCCTTACTTGATAGATCTTGATGTATACATTAGGTTAGTGAGGAATCTAGAATATCATTAGTCGCCAAGAATATAAGACTTAGACTTAGTGATATGAACCTAGGTCACGTCAGAGGAAAAGCTAAAGTACTAAGGCGAAGTTCTGACTAAATTCCAAGGCATCCACTTTTATCAAGTGATTGCATAGCTACTTTCGTCTTACATATAGTTATGAAGTATTTAGATAATTGAATGTGATATGTGTCTAGTATCTGCAATATATGTTGGATAAACCTATATGACTCGATTTTACTTGATTTAATTACACAAGTATTTCATACTATATATATATATATATATATATATATATATATATATATATATATATAGGGTAGTGATGGGTGGCGAAAGATGAGAAATGATTAAGAGACGCCATGAATTTTTCTTGCGATGATTTGATTTAGTCATGTAAGAGAGTATAGATGATGACCACTAACTAGCCCAAACAGTCCAATGGAACACTGGCAGTCTCATAACATGTAAGTGATGGACTATCTGATCATGTTATGTACTTTACCCCTTAGAGACAAGTTTACCAAAACAAACTGTATATATGATGTTAGGCGATGAACCTTCGGAGAAGTCCTTAGCGATAAAAATATAAAAAGTTGTGATGTTAGGCGATGATCCTTAGGAGAGGTCCTTAGAAATGAATATAGAATGAATTGGGCACGGTTAAATCAAGTTAACTATTTGATAGTTAATTAAACAAAAGTTAATTATATTATTGTGGGTTGAAAGTCGTATGTACTCACTAGGTTTCCCAAATGATTCACTTAGTTTCTTTGTATCACAGGTATCGATACAAAGGTATTTGATGTTTGGATCTAACGAGAGATTAAAGGAAATGTAAGCCATTAGATATTATAAGGCCAATAATGATTACATTTATGCTTATATTTCCTGTATCAGTTATGGCATCCCAAGTTTTAATAAGTCAATTGAAAACATTTCTAAGAAAATACTTTTATGAGACTAATTCTACAATTTAAAGAATACTCTGTTTTAAAATAACCACAAAATTCAAATGTCTTTTCTGACCGTAAAAATAGGGATGTCACAATCATCATCCAACTTAAGGACCTGGTTAAAGCAAAATCATCACCAAGTTCGATGATGATTTTTCAAAAAGTTTTCTAAAATACCCAACTATCATTTTTTATTCAAGCAAAACCAAGTCAATATCAAGTATGCCTCTTGATAATGAAGATACATTCCATGAATTATTCATTTATTTATTCAATCTTTATTCTAGTAAAAGTTCTTTGAAAAAACTTTGTGCAAATCAGTTTGACATTCTTACGAGAATATATCACATTCTCATAAGAATGGTTGTTTTTTTTATGTAAGTTTGTTATGTAACACCCAATTTTCACCTTTTAGTAGGGTTTAATAAAAATTATTGTTTATAAAGTTCGAATTAGAGATATAACACTCTTTATCCATAGTAATCATAATAAACATATAGGAAACATCAATACGATTTCTGTTGATATATAGAATGCTTAAATCTGACTTTATATGAAGAAATTATGCATTTTTGAAGTTTCAAGATTTATCGAAACGGCTCTATGTATCGTAAAAAGCAAAGTTTAGATAGTTTGCTTATTAACCTAAGAAATAACATCGCAAAACGAAGTACGTATGAGCAAGATATAAGTTTTTGAAGTTTTAGCCTTACATACCACTTCTGCCACTTAGCCCCACTGAAAAGATGCCACATATCACGTTTTGGGTGGAGGAGCTACCACCTACCTATTGTACAGCGTGCCTGGTAGGCATACACGACACACCTCTTCAACTAACTGCCTATAAATACCTTTCAGCTCCCATTCCAATCCCTCACACTCTCAACACGTTTTTATCGAGTTTCTCTTCATTTTGGTCAGAATTCCTTTAGTTTAAGTTCCTAGCGAAGCTCTCGGATCCCTAAGTGCTTGATACTAATAGCTATCAAGTTGGAGTTTTTCCAGTACAATTTTCGGGCTTTTGTCAGGAAAATATCTATAAGTTAAGCTACACTCATATTTCTTTTAGTGTAACTTATATTTTTATTCATAGTCATTGTTATGAATGTATAGATAAGGTTTATCAGTAATTCCAGATATAATATTGATTGATTTACTTATGAGAGAGGTGCCTAGAATGGTTACTTTTGCTTGGTTGTTGGATTTAATAAAATCTATATGCCGAAATGATCCTGCCTCTCAAGTCCTATCTGGTTGATCCTTACTTGATAGAACTATTAGTATTCGTTGGGATTAGTGAAAGATCTAGCCTTTCATTACTAGAATCCCATAAGAACTAATGAGCTATATTAATATAGGTTAATACTTGTTTGATGCTTTACCCACCAGTTGAATCGTCAGTAAGATTGTCAGATAACTGCCAATATCATGATTAATTGTCGAATTGAGTTATCTCACTATACTATGTATTACAATACATATTCCTGTGTGTTAGGTTGTAAGAGCTAGTAGAGTAGAGCTGATAGTATAGTTCCTCGGTGCTTAATATTAGTATACTCGAAGGTAGCAGTAGAATAGAAAGTATAGCCCCTATGGACATGTATTAGCAGAGCCTAAAAGTGTAGTATCTATGTGTGTTATATGATTATGTATGTTGGGAGGGGCCCATTAGGTTTATTGGATAGGGCCCATTATGTAGTTTGGGCGGGGCGAGTTTATATGCTCATTGAGCTAGGCTCATTTATATGCTTATTAGGTGGTTCCCGATATATGTATTGCGGTATATAGTATTTTAGGGATCTCACTAAGCCTCGTGCTCATCCATTTGAATAAAAATGTTTTTTAGGTATTTTAGTGATTCGTGAGAAGGGAAAGGTTCGACTATACACACGCGCATTCACAGCATGTTTCCATACATTGTAATTATGCTATGATATATTTTAATAAATAAAAATTAAAAATTCTGGTTGAAAATCGGGACGTTACAATTTTATAACTCTATATTTTTTTACCAAAACATACCAGATTTTTTTTTTAAGAATTGATAGTAATTTTATAGAAAGATATAACATTGTTATTAAATACAATATTACAAGAATATAATATCTTATACACCAAATATAGTATAGAAAAATTATTGCAATTATATTTACCAAAATAACATTGTTCAAACTATTTATATATTGAAGCCAAAACAAATTCCTCTCATAAATGAACGCCTTTGTGTCAAACCACTCATTCTTTTCTTCACATTCATTTTCAATCTAAATGGTTCACAACTCTTTATCTTTCTTTGTATTTTTTTTCTTGATTCACCAACCCCGATTTCTAGTAATGGGAGATATAAAATTTATAGAGAGTACATGCAAGATCACAGAATATTATGATTTATGCATGTCAACTTTACTATCAAATCATACAAGCTCAAAGACTGATCTCAAAGGTTTAACTCTTATCTTGGTAGATGTCATAAAAGATAAAGGATATGAAACAATTGAAAAAATCAAGTCATTAAATGAGTCGAAACCAGGTTGGTATGACCCCTTATATGAGTGCTACGTGAATTACAATGCAGTGGTAAAAGAGGATATACCAGAGGCAATTAAAGGTGTAAATGAGGGCCAACCACAAATCAGTAAAGGTGACATGATGGATATTTCAATCAAGTCCCAAGCATGTGACGAGAGCTTTATGAGACGCAGCATGTCATTACCATTGGCAACATTGAACACGCTTATCCACAATCTTGCTTACTTGACTGCAAACTTTATCGAACTATTATAGTTTTGATTTGTTTTGTAAAGATAATATTATGTAATAAATCATATTTCCTTGTCTTTGTTTCTTGATCTCTAAATTTTATTCTTCTAATTAGGAATGAGTATTACAAATACAAAAATTTTATAGTGTTTTTTTAGTCAAGACAAATAAATATACATAGATACCTAAGATATTTTTCAATCAGAACAAATAATCAACTCTTAGTATTTTGTATCAATATCAAAAGTTAATTTAGTGACAATAATGGTTGAATAATCAAAAACTAACACCAAATCAGTGTCAATATTTAAAATAACTTAATTTAAGATTTTCCTTTACTTCTCGTGCCTAGGGAAGTAGTATCTATGACTATCTAAGTTCTAATGGATCCTGTCCTTTACACTCGAGCCTAGGTGTTTTATTAAGGACATTACAAATTAAGGACATTACAAATATTTTATGTTTTCTATCAATATAAGTGTGAACAATCAAGTGTGAAACATTACAGTATATAATAATAAAAATTGAAATTGTTTGAACAAACAACTCTGCAAGTTAAAACAGTTTGTTAGTAGGTTTTCAATTCTTAAAAGTATGCGAATTATGAAACCATTTAAATGAAGTAATGAATTTAAGTACAAGATATTCTTGTACTTTTGCTTGTTTCCCCCCCCCCCCTGAAAACATTTAAAAACCATTGAAAAAGGGTAGGGGTATGAACTCACCGGTTGAGAAACGCGTTAGTTTGGATCCTAAACGTCAGTTCTGGGTTCGCGAACGCACAAGATTTCTATGGATTATGAAATGATATACAAATATATCTAATTAGATTTATAAACTCTAATTAGATATGATATTACACTCCAATGAGCGAAAACACTTCAAAACGAGTGTTTGGAGTGACCCGGGTGACATCTACGGACGTGTATTGATGTGTGGGACTTGGGAATTGATTTTACTCTTCAAGAGTAGACTATTTAGGGATTTTACTGCCCTATACAATATACACGCATGAGTTCACGGCTGTGAACTCATGGTTGGAGGTTTTATGGTGCTAAATTGGTCAATAACACTTGGGAAGTGTTGGCACAATTTTATCTAAGGCATGGGATGGGAATTAAATCACCAATAACATCACTTAAGGGAGTTTATGGCCCTAAACATAGAGTTTACGTCCGTAAACTCCTATACCCCCTTAGATTGATGATTTAATGGCTTTAGATTAATCACATGTGATTCCTATAATTTTTACAAGCCTTGGTATGAATTTAGGGCACCAAATGACTCATCTTTAGGAGTTTACGACCCTGGAACATATTCTTGGGGTGTCATGGCCGTAAACACCTAATTGGAGGGTTTTTGACATGTTTAAGGTCCCTAAACTATTTTTAGATGATTCTAGGATTTATTCCAAGGCTTTTGGTGAAGTTACAAGGCATTCTAACATGTTTAAATGAGTTTACTCTCCATGTTTGATGTGTTTACGGCCCAAGCACATTCCTTGGCTGTAAACTCATGTTTTTCCCTCAAAATCCATGTCTAGGGTGTTCTAAGTCCGGGTTTGTAAGCCTTAAGGTCATATCTAAGTCCCAATGTTGGTTTGGAAGGGTTAAAGTGCTTAAAAACCCCATTATTATGTGTTTACGGCCGAAGCATGCTCCTTGGCCGTAAACACATGTTCCAGGTCCACAATCATAATTTAAACACGGATTTGAAGTCCTAGGAGGTTGAATAACAAGTTAGGAAGGTTACCTCTATGATTTGGAGCCTTAATTCATTGATTTTGGACCTAAATCTTGGATGAGGAGAGAGGTTAGAGAGAGAGAGTAGTGAGATGAAGCAAAAGCTTCAAATGGAAGCTTAGAACACTTTAAATAGTGTTTGGGATTTGGACACGGAGGAATTCTACCCGATACCGACGTTAAATGGGGCTTTTGGTCGCACCCGATTAAGTTGTCGTAACTCGATGTGGTTGATTCTAGAAATGTTCCGATCACTAATATGAGATGTTAGGTTGAGTTCTAAATGTACTAGAATACTCATTAAGTCATAATATAAAATATACATTAATGACTTAATTAAATGGCCGAATCGAAAACGAAATTGGAAACGGCGATTGGATTATCAAAATGAGTTACGAAAAGGGTTGCAAGTAGTGATGCAAATTTCGGGTTGTTACAAATTTCAAAATTAGGGTTTGGGTTTTACCAAATAAAAATTATCCAATTTTAAGGAATTTAAAACAAATAATTATCAAAACGAGAAAACCGTACCAAAACCCTAGCAATTTCGTAAATGAAGAAGGAGGCTAGGGTTTCTAAAACATTTGCCCATATCGAAAACCATCGAAAGGGTTTTTTTTTTATCTTATTCAACTTTGTGCAAGATCATAGAGAACAATCGCTCAGATACCACTGATTGGTTTTATAGATAACAAAAACCATAGTTTAATATATTTTAGATAAAATATTATTAAAACGGCATATAAGTATAATATTACCAAATTTTACAAAATAAATAGCATCAAATTATTTAGTTGTGATTTGAAATTTATAAACGACTACTAAGAAGTAGTATTATTGTTTAATATATTTTAGATAAAATATTATTGAGAGAAATTGCATAACAATGTTTTCTATTAGGAAACACTTTTTGAACCTATTTGAAAAAATAAATTACAAAACTAATAAATAATTATTGATTGATTGAATAAATAATAAATTTTTATTCTATTTTTTTGGATTATTCGGTTGTTATTTAATAAGCCAATCCAAAATACTGATTCGCTTTTGTTGAAAACCAATCCGAAAAATTCGAATATCCAAACAAAATAGTCCAATCCAAATTGTCTAATTGGACAATTCAGTTTTATCCAAATAGTGAACAACCATAATCCTATTCCAAAACCTTCATGCATTGTTAATAAAGAGTTCATGGGGAAGAATTTGTAATCTAAAGTTCTTATAGATGATCATCAACTAGGTGACAAAGGATTGGGATCCAATGCTGAGACTTCCAAAGTGTATGTAACATCCCAAAAATTATATGTAAATTTTTATTTTAAATAGATTAACCAATTAAATCTTTTTTTTTAAATATTGAATAACAGTTGATTGATTGAAAACCATACATTATTAGAGTTAAGTTCACAAAACCGTGGGAACAAATATGTTCTATGCTTGTGTACAGTCTTGTTGAGCTCTTCTCATGAACAACCAATGTTTAATCCACAAATGTAAGCATAAACTTAGCGAGTTCACTAATATACCATATATTCTATCATATATACAATGCATGCACATAAATTTCTCAACTCTAGAGCTAACTTATCAACATATATACATACATCCATCCATCCATATCAGCATAGAATGTGCAAATGTTATTATCCTCCGATAGTCTTAAGACGGTTGCCATGATCCTCTCATAATCTTCATGTCATGTTCCTACCATGGTCTTTCATACATGTATCATGGTCCTCCCATGGTCTTTCATGCAAATGTCATGGTCCTCCTATGGCCATTCATGCAATTACCATGGGCCAGATACTAGTCTTCCATACATTTTAGAAAGTTATATGAAGTCAGAGATTAGATAGACAGTCAAACAAATGATCCATCTGAGAAAGAACAATCAAACAAGAACATCTCAATACGACATTAGACCAAGAGTTCTCAGGTGATCCAAATTTAACTACGTAAAACCAATGTTATAATTACCAATAATCTTATAACATAAACACATAACATATACTAACATATTACATATCCTTAGTAACTAGCATTCCCTAGTTACCCTACCATTAACCACTTCTCAATTAAGTCCTTCGTTGGTCAATCATACATAATCTTAATAACTGGTCTTCCCTAGTTACCCTAACCAAAAATAACTCCTAGCAGTATCATACGATAAACAAGAAAGACCCTACCGGTCTATCATACCAAGACACCATGTTTTCTAACTACATATGCATAAAAAGGAGCTATCCTAGTCAACTAGCATACTTGTACCTTAACATTACCTCTATCCTACCATGCAAAGGATATATATACATATATATATATATATATATATATATATATATATATATATATATATATATATAATGGGATACGTGGTATAGTAAGAAAATCACTTAAACTAAAGAACAGAAGAAGCACATCAACACTCTCACACCTTGCACTGCGCAATCCCGTTAATCGGCTAACACCAAAAGAGATGAATCCTCAATGAACAACCCAATGGCCACCACGATGTGGAGACCTCATGGCTATGTCGTGGGCATGACAAAAAAATAGACGACATGCAGGACATCGCTACGTCGTGGACCCTCCCTAGCCACATCGTGGGTATGTTTGGACAAAATGATCAAGAAGATGGACTTCACCACGTCATGGTTATTCCTTATCCATGTTATGGTCACCGGCAGATCCAACAACTCTTCATTAGGAGCTTAATCCTTACATATCAAGACTCAAAACTTAGATCTAACTCTTCTCATTGACTTAATGGATAAAGTTTACAACTTTATCCATTAGAACCTCACTCTATAGCAATATCTACAACTCTAAGTCCAAAAATGGCATAAATCATTTACAAAGAATTCATGGATCCAAGGACAAGGTAAAACTACCAACTTTCCAACAAGAAGAGGTCTGGAAGACAATCCTAAGTGCTTAAAAGGGTCTAGAGTCACCTTAATTCCAAGCACACCACCAAAAACGGAACATAAGCTAGATCTAACAAACTACAAGCAAAGTTTGAAGCTTTATACTCACAATGGTCCATAAATGAAGTCACTTTGCTAGACCTACACTTGATCTATTTACCAAAACACTTTGCAAGAAACTTGATCTTAAAGCTCCACACCAAGACGTGCAAATGAGCCTTTAAATGGCCAAGAACACTCAAAAGGGGCAAGGGTTTCGAGATAGGAGGGTAGAGACTGAAGAAAATGACCTGAACCTACAGTTAAGGTCTTTAAATATAGGATAAACCCTACAAACAAAGGCTTGGGCTGCAAC